ACCCTACCTCCACCCACCCCTCCCACGGTTTAGAAGATATTGCCGAAAACGGGAGGGGGCCTCGAGCCCCCCCCCCCCCCAGTCATGCGCGGGGTGCAATGCGCAGTCGGAACCGTCCCGCGCCGGCAGTCTCCCAGGCGGCGCTTAACGGCCGCCGCGCCGCCGCTCTGGCAGGGTGTTTCACTTTATACCCCTGTTGTAAGAAAAGTTGTCGACCGATTTACTTGATTCTTGCATGAACAGATCCGCCATTTAATTCTTCGCAGGTACCGAAAATTTGACGTCAATTGCACGATACGCCGCCCATATTGTGGTACTGCCATCTATTGACAAGGCTTTCCACTTCTGACACATCATGGCCCACGGACAAAAGACCAACCAAACGCCCACCGTTCGAAAATATCTCTTATTCGCGTTGCAGAGCAAGTGGGTCCCATCCACCCGGGGGGCCCGGGCCCGTTCTCCCGGGTGCCCGGGCCCATCCACCGGGGGCCCGGACCACGTTCTCCCGGGGGCCCGGGCCCATCCACCGGGGGTCCGGGCCCCATCCACCCGGGGGCCCGGGGCCCGGGCCACATCCACCCGGAAACCCGGGCCCCGTCCACCTTGGCCCCAGCTCTCCCCCCCCCTCTCTCTCTCTCTCTCTCTCTCTCTCTCTCTCTCTCTCTCTCTCTCTCTCTCTCTCTCTCTCTCTCGCTATCCATACTTTTTCAATGAAGGGTTCAGACCAGTGCGGGTCCCTCATAGAAATTTCGGGGAGGGGGGTCAGCTGACCCTCTGACGGACCCCCGTGGCTGCGCCACTGCGGTAAATACTTGCATTATGACGATGAGTGCCTTATATATGACCGCATTGACGACTCCTCTGCTTTCTCTGAGTGTGAGCATGGCCTACGTAGTCGCATGTGTACACTTTCTGAAAATGAAGTATTGCTGATATCCTAAAAGTCTGCAAGAATGGAAATACATAGTCATTGTAGTCACGCATCTTATCTTACCTAGAGAAAATGTCTTTAGACAACAGGCATTTCGCGGTAAATTATAAGCTGTGTGAAAATGCATTATAAAGGCATGGATGAGATAATAATGGATTGGTGTCTTCGCAGTTTTTGGCGACATTGAGCTCAGGCCTGCCATCTAGCGGGAGAATTATCGTAAGTTAGGAGCAAGCCGAGTGAACGCCGCTGATTAGCATTGTGACACACGGGAGTGTGGTGTAGTAGCGGGCTTGTTGTGCAATTTTTCAAAAGGTTACGTCTATATATGTCAGTAAAAGCGAAGAAATTAATAGATTTATGTGCAGCGTCAGTAATAAGATAAGCAGTTCCATGTTATTTCCTCATTAAATCGTGAAACAGGGAGTTATTGGAGACTTCGCCAGCACGTGTCGTTTTCGCTATTTTTCACATGAGTCTTTACTTGGCCTAAATCAAACAAATTGCCCGATCAAAGAACAAAACGAACGTTAAGTAGGTACTATCTATAAGTCTAATGAAAAAGTTGAACGGAATTGCTAACGTCATTGCCGCTCAATATGTCATTCAAGACGCTCTTTGAAAAGGACCCAACCAGTGCTGCGTAGTCGATGAAATTTCAGTGACTTTGGCTCCAACTCCGATTCCGGTATCCAAATATCGACTCCGACTCCTCCGGGCAGAACTGTCGATTCACACAGACTCCGACTCTGACTCCGACTCTGCAGCCCTGGTAAGTCTGTGGAGTTGATGGCTTTTCGGTGACGTTCGACTCATACTCCGACTACAGCTTTTAAAAATCAACCGACTCCGAGTCGGAACAGAACCGCTGGCTCTGACTACAACTCCGCAGTCCTGGCCCAAGATAGCCGCTTAAAACAACTTTTTGTGTGATCTTCGTACATTGTTAATGTTATTTTAAACAAGGGGTGGAAAATGGAGACGAAGCCTTCGCAAACAAGGATCTCCTGTTGCGGATCAATCAGCTGCTGGAACAGAAAGGCATAAACACCACGCATCTCATTTCCTCGTTTTCTTTACGACTCTGCACCAATATAAGCACTGATCAATGCAGTGCGAGCATCGATGTGACATTTGTGTACAAAGTTTGAGTGTTATCCGCCCAGCCGTTTTTGAGATATGGAAGAGGCACCCCGCACGTGCAGTAGCACCCTCATAGTGACGCATGGAAACGCATTGGCCACTGGGTGCCTAACTATTAACGAAGTTTTACTGTAATGGGCCCAGCCATTGCGGAGTTACTTTATGTGGAACAATTTCGACACCCCTAAGTTGGCACGTGGCACGTGCCGTAACAATTAACTAAGATGAAGAAAATCGAGCGAAATTCGGAGAAGAAGGAATAAGCATACCAAATATGTATGACATATTGTCAAACTGCTGTACCATTTTGAGTAAATGACCGTATAAAAGGCCGTACAAGCCGATGGGACCGGGCGTTTCAATACACACCGTCTTACGCATTTTATTTTCGTTATTACCTAAATGCTGCTTGACATTTTTGGCTTTCAAGCATTTAAGACATTTTTTGTCGTCTCAAGTCCAGTAAGACTACCTCCAACTCGTGGGAATATGCACTTCAAGCCAACTAACACACCACACCCACGTGTGTCATAATGCTGAGAGATGGCATTCACTCGGCTTGCTCCTAACTTACGATAATTCTCTCGCTAGATGGCAGGCCTGATCCCAATGTCGCGGATCCCAATGTTAATTTCCACGAGACACCAATCCAGTGTTATATCATCCATGATAAAGGCATTGCAAAGAAAACATTATGCTTGGATTATAATTTATAAATATGAAAACCTTAAAAAAAGAGGCTGGCGAAACTTGTATCAAACTGGGCGCCCTATACTAGAAACTACATATGTACCATGTACAGGGTGTCCCATAAGTTCGTTCTCACATTATATTCGCATGTAAAACGGAGTAGGATTGCGTTTTGATATATTTATGACCACTCAATGTGCTCCTCATTTCATGGGCAAACACATGGATACACGCTGCGCCATGCCAGCCGCCATGTTTTGCAGCGTGGCCGGCTTGAAGTTAGCCCTCACTGGCCTGACATGCGCCGTGAGCTCCTGGAGGCTGGAACAGCGCTTCGCTTCGATAAGCCCCAATTTCGGCATTCCCAACATATTTTTATTAAATTTCGATCTTATGAGTTGCCTGGCATGTGATATTGTGATAGACGCTTGTCACAGTCTCTTGGAACCAATGATGAGCTTTTCTTGACCTATGCGCCGATGCCCGTCTTGCTTGAAGATGGGCCAACAACGACCTCCCGGATGACATTTTCTCCTCCAAAATGGAATTCATACTTGCGATTTGAGTTAAGCTAGAAAGCAGAGACTTCTTCTACATCTTCGTGGTGAAGCAGTCTGCGCCCAAAAGCTGTTTCTGGGTCGACACTTGCAACTTGGTCAACGCCAAAACGCCTATAACCTCACAACACAGCGACCCTGGCATTTTGCATAGGAACATACCGGGACGAAACGGAGGCCTCCTCCTTCGTCCTTATGGGGCCGTTTTTGGGTTTGGACGAGTGTTTCATCTCGAACGTGAACTAGTCAGTCCAGATGACCTGATTGATGTCCTCAGCTCTCTAGATTTTTTAGCCTCAGGTATAACGAAACGAAACTCATGTTTGGCATTTTAAAACATTTTCGACTGTTTTGAGCCCTCCGGTAAGTAAAGCTTAACGCTCGCTTGTGTAGGGGGGGGGGGGGGGTCGGATGGAGGCCCCCATGGTTTTTCGCGAATAACTCGCGCAAAAAGCGGCTGATCGCTACGAAACTTTCAGTACCCTCGAGTTGATCAATTTTGCACCTACTCTGAAAATTTCATGACCCTGACCCAAGTGACATCATGCGCCCCAGTCAGTCATGTCATTAACCCCAGTCATGCACGGGCTCAGGTATCGAGACTTCACGTGCGTTTCTCACTAGAGCGCTTGAAGCGATTAGACAGGCCTGAAAAACCCGACTATAGGCAGTCGGCAGTTTCGCGGATTAAAATCATCAACGAGGACTAGAAGATCGGGACTGTGCTGTTTAGCTTCAAGGACATAGACCGACAAGTAATCTAAGAATTGAGATTGTCTGTCACTAGTGCTGTGCGGTAGAAGCAAAGGTAGAAGATAACTGAACAGAGCAGCAGCAGTGTCGCATTACCCAATTTTCATTTTCATCCACATGGCCTCAAAGAACTGACACTCGGTGTGACATTGGCGAAGAAGGGAACGTGTGTTTTACATATACCGCAACTCATCCGCCCCTCCTTTTCCCATTTTTGAGTATTGTTGGCTGGCGCATGAAAACCTTTGAGAGAGTACCTAAAGACTGGAATGTATCGTGTTGTTTAAGGAAATACTACACTTTTAACATGGGGTTTTGAACTGGAATGGCAGTTTCGTAGCTTGAGCTGAGACTAGCACAAATCAGGAGCTTTTACGGCCCAACGATCACTCTAGACGAAGATATACCATTTTTCGTTCCGTAAAGAGTGCCGTGTAAAGGAATGTGTGCCTTGCTGAGGAACGCAGCCACGTCATCGTCAGCCAATCAGCATGCTGCTTACAGCCAATGCAGCATGCGTGAGTTTGAACTACACATTATGATTGGTCAACGCGTAATAAGCTTCCGCGTCAAACAATATTTTATATACATATAATATGTATAGTTCTTCCTATAAGAAAATATAGAAAATAATCCTTTTTAAAAACGGTTTTATTTTATTTTTTGATCATTTTGATCATTAAAATCATAAATCCATTGCAAAAAAACGAGTTTCAGGAAAGTGAACTATTTCCTTTAAGTTTTGTGTCGAGTAGTGTATAGTGTGCTTGTATTGCTAGTGTCGGCGAGGTTTTGGATTTGCTGCAGCTGTCCGGCTGTTCAGCCGGTAGGTAATGCGCGTTGCTGTCGTACACGTCTGCTGTGCGATATCGCAGCCAGTGACTAATAAATGGACCCCCGTCCCGCTCCGTCTGCCGGTGCAGAGTTTCTACGCGGAGCGGTTCGGTGTCGACAGCGTGCACACCATCAAAGGCTCCAGCCGGGTGGAGTCGGCACAGCTCGACCCAGAGGCTGCCTACATACAGATCACATACGTCGAGCCCTACTTCGACGCATGGGAGCGGCGCACTCGGCTCACCGCCTTCGAGCGAAACTTCAACATCAGTGAGTGCTGTCGTCAACGTCAGCTAGAGAAGGGCCCCATGAAAATGGTCAGAGTGGGTGCCCGTTTCGGCCAAGGTCGGCCCTCTTTCTCGTGTCTGGCCGGAAGGGCCACTCGACGTATGTCAGCGCACATTACAGGGTGTCTCAAAAGTTCGTTCACACATTTCCCATGCCAATAAAGCATATAAGAACCGGTCAAAAGTATAAGGTTTTGGTGTCTGTGTGTACACTAGACAAATATGCATGCTTTGACAACTGATTAAGAAGGTTGGAAACCAACCCCTTTGCTGTATCTCCAAAAATATTTGCCCATACCGATTTTTGTTGCTCCGTCAGCTGCCGGAGGCTGATAAAAGGTTACCAGCTTTCAAGCTCTTGCAGGGGAATCCCCTGCAGTTTCTGCGTCGGATTTAGTTTTGACTAGCTCCCCGGCAACATCTGATTTTCCCTGAAAGCCGACAGCTTGCATCGACACCATTCTTGAGTATTTTGTAGGCATTCTCTGGCGCTAACTCCTTCATGAATGACTGGCGCCGACATCCCAAGCGCCATTTTCCTTTTCAAAACGACCCCAGTCCTGAACGAAGGGGAAGTGCCAGGAGTAAATTTTTCGCATCATATGGTAGCAGAATGTGTCGGACGTCTGTTTCTCAGACACATTGTGCAAATTTTGCAAATTCCAAGCGCTCGTCATTCCCCATGCCAAGACCTTCGCTCGGTTGCGGAGTGTTTTCCTCGGGAGATGTTCTGCTTTGTTAACGGCCCAAACCTGTCCATCGTGTGGTTTTATCGGGATTTTGTGTTTAAAAGAAAATTATTCGCTGCAGATCTGCCTCTTAAAACTTCGTTAGATAAAATTTTACAATAACTGACACTTTTGGAGGGTCAGGTGTCCTTGGCATTGACGATTTTTGTGTTATTGTCCCCAAAAATTAGCGTTATAGATATTATAAACAATTTTAAATTATAATTTGTCTTTATTTTACGATGACCTGCACTTTTTGAAAATGGGTAACCTCTGTCTGCGACCTTCTTGCCAGTTTTCAATAGTTATGACCGCATTTTCAGCTACTTTCCGGAACACGAGTCTGCTGTCGTGCGAGGGTCGTTCAAAACGCCGTTAGTCTCGCATGGTTTCGTCCTTCAAAAATTTTAGCCACCGTTTTTATGAGATGATCATCATGTTGCACTCATCCTCGCCGACACTTAGCCATGTGTCATTTCCGACTTAACCATTCTCATTACTCCTGAAACAGAGAGTTTCACAACATACCCGACTTTGCAACCTACATTTTCGTGCCTGACCCATGGTCAGAGGTGAACCCTTTTTGTGAGCTCATGAAGGGTCGAATGCACTTGAAAACAATGAGACTGCTTGAGGAAGGTTGTCACCAATGCCCATGCAAAATTTCGACTGTTAATTTCTTGTTGATTCAGAATTATTGACAAAAAAGCATGGCTGGTACCTGTGAACGAACTTTTGAGACACCCTGTATCTGTGCGATCCCAGACTTTTCGTGATTAAAAACGTGTCAACATATGAGATGCTGCTTTTCCCATTTATTATGGTTCATGCTGTCAAGGTCAGATAAATGTCAGGTTAAGTTCGTCGACCTGAAGTGACATCTGCTGACTTTTTAAAGTTTAAACTTTTAGAGTAACGTAAGATGGGGCTATTTGATACGGGGTTTACAGTTTTTGCCTCTTAGGTATGTCACGGCCTACGGAGTGTCGATGCAATACCTAGCATTGCCGGACCGAAGGTTTGAAAGGAAGAAAAAAAGAACCTAGAAATTAAATTAAATATTGCAGTACCAAAAGTTATTACGAGCGAGCGAGCGCAGCGAGCGAAGCGAAGTCTATATAAATGCAATGAAAACCCTAAGCCTCATGCTAATAATTGTATTCAAAATAGGGCCAAGAAAATGAGACAACTGTTACGTGCATAGCACATCGTCAGGTCTGAAGTAAACAATCATTTCATAGTTTTTTAAACGTCACACAAAGCCTGCTCAGTGAATACATCTTCCTCCTAGTTGCGGAATGGTACATACAGTGAGTTATGAATATTAACATATATACACGCACTTCGATTCACAAGCAAAAACACGGTCGTTCGCAGTGATTATAACAAATGACAGACAGTAGATGACATGAATGATCCCAGTCTATTTGAATGGTAGGAATCGGGTATGTGAACAAATAAATGAAAAGATGGTAGAATGAAAGAGCCTTTATATGTGTGCAAATTGCTTAGAAAATCCTATGTGTGTGTGTGTGTGTGTGTGTGTGTGTGCATTGTGCAGTATGTGTGTGTGCACTGTGCCACATGTGTGCGAGTGATTGAGTGAGTGAGGGAGTGAGTGAGGGAGTGAGTGGTTGAATGAGTGGATGATAGACTTAGTTTTTTTTTAAATTTTTTCATTTATTAAATATTGTCGGTGTCAGCCGTGTTAGTACATACATGAGGAGTCCCAGCGGGAAAGTGCCGTCCACGCAGGGACAGCCGACATGAAGAGTCCCAGCGGGAAATGATAGAATTAGTTAGTGAGTGAGTGAGTGACTGAGTGACTGAGTGAGTGAGTGAGTGAGTGAGTGAGTGAGTGACTGAGTGAGTCAGTCAGTGGGTGAGTGAGTGAGTGGGTGTTCACTGGGAGCCATAAGAAGGTGGGGTGAGAAGTTGCCAGGAGGATGTCTGAGTGTTCAGTTTGGGTTTCACATCTCTAATGCATTGTGATTCAGTAATTTTGAGGTTTGCTACGTCTTTGCAGCGTCGTAGTATGCTTATGTTCAGGGAGGATGTTGTGATGATGGCGTCAGCGTGATGGGTCCGGATGTGGTCACCGAAAGGGCTGTCTTTTGTTTTTTTTTTGTTTTTTTTTTTGCATCACGCAGATGCTCGTTGAACCTTAGCCGGACTTGTTGCTTTGTTTCACCAATGTAGGTGACATCCTGGCACAGCAAACATTTGATTTGATAGACAACGTTTTTTGATGTGCAGTTGCCCCTTAGCCCTGACTCACAAGCATTGCAAGTTTTGTTGCCTGATGGGCACGGGGGAGGGTTTAGAGCCGAGCGAATGAGGAAGTTTGACACAGCAAAAAGGACAAAGCAGGGGCGTAACTTTATATCTCTTTGGGGGGCTTGAGCCCCCCTGTGCTGAACTGAGCCCCCCTTGGGAAGCTTAGAGCCCCCCTTGATTAATTTTTAATTCTTGACAAAACACACAAATAGCAAAACACTAACATCCAATTTCCCCATTTTCCACCATATACATGAGTTTCCAGGTTGAGGGGGGGATGATCATGGACTTGTAAAAACCCTCGCCCGTATAGGGGGGAGGGGTCGAACGGACCCCCCTCAGTTTTTCGCGAATAACTAGCGTAAAAAGCGTCCGATCGCAACGAAACTCTGAGTACCCTCGCGTTATTCAATTTTACACCTACCCTGAAAATTTCATGACCCTGACTCAAATGACCTTTGACCTGTGACCTACTTTTCGAGACCATGCTTGGTCGGAAATCGGAATCGCGATTCGGCGTATGTCGGCTCGCATTAGTCGCGCGTTTTCAGTCTTTTCGTGGTTTCAAGCGTTTAAACATGTGATATGTGGCTCCCAATGCATTAAGGTGGATGTGAAGATCACCTGAAGGTCAGGTCAGCTCATTGACCTTTGATGACCTCGGTTCATTTTTTTCGAGTTTTACATGTTTCTAGGCTAGTTTTTGGAGCTGAATTGGAATTTGGCAACCATATGAAGTATGAACATTTAAGAAGTAGTTTTGGTGCCTTCCTAATATGTTACGAAGCTGTCAGAGGCGGTTGACACCTACTATGAATACCTGGCAGGACCCCTACTGATTGACTTCACTTGACCTGACCTGACTCGACCCGACCTAGCCTAAATGCATCTAGTCTAGAACCATGTAAAACTCGAAAAAGTGAACCGAGGTCATCAAAGGTCAATGACCTGACTTGACCTTCCGGTGACCTTGACATCCACCCTAATGCATGGGAGCCACATCATATCCCATGTTGAACGCTTAAAACCACGAAAAGACTGCAAACGCGCGGCTAATGCGAGTCGACATGCGCCGAATCGCGATTCCGGCCAAACATGGTCTCGAAAAGTAGGTCACAGGTCAAAGGTCATTTGGACAAGGGTCATGAAATTTTCAGGGTAGGTGTAAAACAGATTGACGCGAGGGTTTTGAAAGTTTCGTTGCGATCTGCCGCTGTTTATGCGAGTATTCGCCAAAAAAAAAAAAAACGAAGGGTTCGTTTCGTCCGTATAAGTGCGAGCTAAACATTTCACCAAGTCTTATTCTCTTTGCAATATTTAATACAAAACCTGCCGATATTGACTTGTATATTTACGCTGAAACTATGCATCAACAGATTCGTTTTAAATTATTTGCGAAGGCACACTCGCACTTAGGTTGAATTAACACAAAATCATCTAAACTTAATCAAAACTAAATCCAAGACTAAAACCAAAAACTCAGATTTCAAAAATATTCAAATTTTCTTGTCGTCTTCACGGTCTTCACTTGTTCCACAAAAACAGTAGTATTGCTCGTGACCATAATATGTGGGACTTGCAGCAGGCTGATTAACACAAACTTGCATACAATCGAAATTGGGTCGTCACCGAAAAGTCAAAAACGTTTCTTGACCAAACACCCGGCCCATTTGAGACCGTAGGTATCAAATCGCTTTATCACTAGCTTCAACTATCTTCACTAGCTTACGAACTGGTCGCCAGAGAATTGTTCCACGACAGCGTATCTTGGCAGATCTCACTCTGGAATCCTCGCTCACGCGGACCTCTTCTACACGACCTAGGGGCCAGGTGCCCCTTGGTACAGATTCGTCCACTACCAGAACTATTTCCCCGACTCGCAAGTTCTCACGGCTCCGCGTAACCGGACTTGTCCGTGTCTGGAGTAGGGGTATATATTCCAGCCGCCACCGTCTCCAGAACTGCTCGGCAAGGTAGG